CATATATTATGTTTGAATCAATTGAATTGATTATATTTATATTATATTTTAATAATTGAATCAGACTATTGTTAAAAAATATACCTAACTTGAAGATATATCAACAATTTTCCTTTGGTTTCATCTTTCATGAACTCAAATCATGAGTATAGTTTAGTTTGGCATACAAGTTGCAGCTTACAGATGACTCTGTTCACTTACAACCTATACAAGTACAATGTAATTAGTTAAAAACCAGAGAGAAATCTAAATCAATACAAATTAATTAAACTTCATGCATGGTTGTTAAGTTCTTGACCGTACCATGAATATGGATGTCAATTCAAGGTTCATTGGAACAGCTAGTTATAGCCAAGTGCCAGCATCCCCAGTAGTGCTACTTCGGAGTCCAAGCACTAGGACAACGCAGTCCAACTCTTCAATTTCTCTAATTAAATCCAATATTGATCTATCATAATCATCCAATTAATATTAATTTTTTTGTCCGAATCAACCAAACTCAAAACTAGGTTGTTCTTGAACTGTCAGACACGTGGCTCCGCTATTTGGGTGCTAGCACTTGGACACCCTCCCCTTCCCCTAAGTCAAACAATTAATTAAACCACACACAACCTAGCTACTTGTGTACATGCTCCTCCGTATACTGTATATAGATAAAAACTAATCATACTATTATTATTTTATAAATTAATTAATTATTTAATGGAACGATCCGACAAATCAGAAATGGCGGTTTTAGATAGATTCTCTCATAACTTAATTAACCGACCATTTTATTGCAATAATGTAATCTGAAACATAAGCTACATACAGAAACAGTTAAGGCATCAGTATATAAGATAATTAAATAATGATTGGGAGAGGTAGTATTAAACTAATTAAAGCACAAGACAGATGGAAAGATTGGCCAAAAGGGGGCATATGTCTTCATGGCCACGTAAATTAGTGTTAAGATGACACAAAAATGTTATAACTATGTTTGGTTTAACTGTTAGTACAAGAAATAATTGTAACTAGTAATTAAGAGTAAACAGAATAGTTGATATTAACTAGTATTACTTAACAATTTAAAATTAGAATAGAAACTAATATTTTTAAGAATTTTTTCAATTTGTGACTATAAGTTAAAGATTATTTATTATATCTTTTTATTTTACCATAATTTGTATTGAAATTTTATTTTTAAAACCAATATTATGTGAAATGATTTAATTAAACAATTGATAAAATTAAATCAACTTTTATTTTTTTTTATACAAATTAATATTGAAAATGTATAATAAATGTAGTCTTAACCTGTATTTTAAGAAAATTTCTATTTTTAAATACCTAAATTTATTACTTGATAAAATTAAACAAATGAAACATAATTATAATATTTTTATCAAAAAATTATTTTATAATTTAAACTATGCTAAATTCCAAAATATTAACTAGTAAATAAGTAATAAACCCTAAAATATATGGAATCTTTTCTAATTCAAAATTTTTTATTTTATAAATTAAATTGTAAAATAAGAAACTCTAACTATTTTTATATAGTCTTAATATTTAATTTTGTAATTAGAACGCGGCTGTAAAGATAGGTTTAAGATTCATGAAAGCCGACCTCTCTCGGGATCTGAAGAATGACAGCCAACATATATACATGCAGAACGTAAATAGTCGGCGGGATTCTTAAATATGGATAATTTTTTTTTTTTTTTTATATCTCAAGCGCAATTTTTTATTAAGAGAATGCTTAAATATGGATAATTAAATTAAAATCTCTTATTAAGTGATCTACATGACAATTTTTTTCTGATTTCTCATGGAATCTTTCGGACATGAGCCTGTTTGAAGCAAAAGCTTAGGACAGCTTGATGTCCATGTGTACTAGATCAAAGGTGAATTTGACTGCCTTCTGGAAACAGATACATTATAATGATCAGGGCAATATTCTTGAGCTATTTATCATGTAATATAACTTGAATCCAAATATATACTTACTCACAAAGGGACTCTGTTTATTTATTTATTGATTGTCATAAGAGGAAAGTCTTGTAGGTGTGGCACTTCCTCTACTCTAAAATAATTATGTATTTCTTTAAAAAAAAAACTATACATATTAAAAATTTTATAAAAAAAAATGATGAATTTACTTATATTACTTTAAAAAAATTAGCGATAGTAGATAAATAAATTAAAACTAGTAAATTTATTAAATAAATATTATCTTTTGTTGTTCAAAAAAAAAATTTAAAACTAGTAAATAACAATTAGATACTGATGGAGGAAGGAAGGATACCAAACAAGTGAACTAAATGTCAAGATTGATATTTTGAATGGTTTTTGATGTGTGTATAATGAATGGAACTGTGTAAATAGGTTGAGTATCCCTTGTACTCATTTAATAAAAGTAACTTTTATTTGCTGTTCAAAAAAAAAAAAAACTAGTAAATAACAGTTATTTTCTAATATATAAAGTATATTTTATGATATACAACGATATGGATTACCAGCGGTTATTTTAATAATTGATAGCATTTTTGTTTCTAGCTACATTAGGGTAGTGTAGTTTAGTACATAGCTGGGGTAAACACTACCTGCACCTAACCATGTTAAATACTTACATATAATTAATATATGTCTTAATCTTTCTATGGTTATGTTTGTTTTTCGATGATTATTCTAACAACTATTAAGAGCTTGATTCTTCAACAAAAATTAAAAACAAAAGAAAGTATTTTTTTAATTATATAACGTACCATCATTTAACAATGCTAAATAAGACTTTTTCAACTATAATATTCTTCAATCTTCATTGTTGTAAGGCACATAAAAAATCCCTCTCTTTCTTCAACAGCAAGAATTCGTTCTCGATCGACTCTTTGAACTACAATGAGATTCTCTGTAACTATATGATTGGACCAAGAAAACAAAAGAGAGAACTGCAATAAGGTTGTTGTGATTTTTTTTTTTTTTTGTTTTTTTGTTTTTTTTGTTTTTTGTTCTCGTTTTGGAAACATCACATTCTTTGAATTCCAAATTCAGTTATCTAGATTATTTTTCTCCATTGTTAGGGTGCGTTTATACCCTTAATTCACACTGTATTCAAACTTCAACGAGATTCCATGGCTCGGAGAATTAATCAAGCAATTCTGCCACTGCCTATAGTTTCTTTTGAGGATAATAATAATCACCTCACAACCTATTATATTTTCTGTGTTTCAATTATTTTAGCCATTATAATATAATACAAAAA